AGTCGGCGCCCAGGTGGCCCCGCGAGGGGTGGGCGCTGCGCCGTGAGCGGCGATCGCGAAGCGATGGGGCGTAGGCAGCCTCGCAGGAGCGGTCGCCACGGGGCGCGCGCAGCTCTTGTGCTCTTGAAATGTTTTGAATGGTAAGTATTATAAACGCTCCTGGGTAAGTATTATAAACACTGGTCTTGGTAAATGACCAAGATTTTTTGAATGGTCAGAGTGAGGGGGCCGAACGGTCATTCACTGTCCCTGGGTGCGTGGCTGAAGTGGAATTCCGCGGTGCGGATTCTCGTTGTTGTTGTTGTTGTTGTTGTTGTTGTTGTTGGTTGTTGGCTGTTGTTGTTGTTGTTGTTGTTGTTGCTGTTGCTGTTGCTGTTGTTGTTGTTGTTGCTGTTGTTTGTTATTGTTGTTTGTTGTTGTTTGTTGTCGTCGTCCCACCCGCAACCCGCCCCGCGACCCACCCGCGACCCACCCCGCGACCCACCCCGCGACCCACCCGCGACCCACCCGCGACCCACCCGCGACCCACCCGCGACCCACCCCGCGACCCACCCCGCGACCCACCCCGCGACCCACCCGCGACCCACCCCGCGACCCGCCCGCGGCCCACCCCGCGACCCACCCGCGACCCACCCGCGACCCACCCGCGACCCACCCGCGCGACCCACCTTCGACCCAAACCACGTTCAAGGTACAAACCACAATTTTCGGCGCCTGCGGCGGTTTTTTTTTGCATTCCTTCCAGGTGGAGAGCCCGCGACCCACCCCGTGACCAATTCGCGACCAACCCGCGACCCAAACCACGTTCAGGGTACAAACCACATTTTTCGGCGCCTGCGGCGGGCATCTTTTGTATTCGTTTCAGGTGGAGAGCCCGCGGCCCACCCGCGACCACGTTCAGGGTACAAACCACATTTTTCGGCGCCTGCGGCGGGCATCTTTTGCATTCGTTCCCGGTGGAGAACCCGCGGCCCACCCGCGACCCAAACCACGTTCAGTGTACAAACCAATTTTTGTTGGCGCCTGCGGCGGGCTGCTTTTGCATTCCTTCCAGGTGGATGTGGAGAGCCCGCGACCCACCCGCGACCCAAACCACGTTCACTGAACAAACCAATGCCGCACAAGCGCAGCGGCAGATTTTTGCATGCCGTTTGAGCCCGCAAAGGACCTCTTCAAGCCCCGCGCATCCACACCAGCCCGTCCAGCAACTTTGCCATGGCGAGAAGTCGGGGAGCATAAAGTGGATAACAGGATTGTGTTGCAGTTATCTTGGGAAAGGAGGGGGAGGCAGGAGGAGTAAACAGGGGACGAGGAGGACGCGGAAGAAGAGAGGATGTAAGGAGAATGTGGAGAAAGAAAAGGAGGAGGAGCAGGAGGACGAGGAGGACGATGAGGGGGAGGAGGGGGAGGAGGAGGACGAGGAGGGGGAGGAGGGGGATGATGATGATGATGATGATGATGATGATGATGATGATGATGATGATGATGATGATGATGATGATGATGATGGTGATGGTGATGATGATGATGGACGACAATAGGATGACGATGATTGAGGCCGATGAGGGGGGGGACGACAATGGGAGGACGATGATCAAAGGACGAGGGGGGGAGAGGGAGGAAGAGGAAGAAGAGGAGGAGGAGGAGGAGGCCGAGGTGGAGGAGGAGGATGAGGATGAGGACGAGGACGAGGAGGAGGAGGATGAGGAGGAGGAGGAGGAGAGCGCCATCGACAGGGAAGGTGAGGGCCACGAGGTCCGCCGGCTCGACGACGCCCGCGTCGCCCGCGCCCGCCCCCTCACTCTTATCCGCAATTGCGGGCTGCTACGTAAGTATTTTTGGATGGTAAGTATTCATTGAATGCTCTTGACATGTTTTGAATGGTAAGTATTCTAAACACTCCTTGGTCTTCGTAAAGAGCACTTCTTCAGAAGTCCTCCCAACACTTCTGAGAGGCCTTTTGGGGAGGATTCCTTTGGATTCCTTTACATCTGCGCTGCGAAAGTTTTGACCCGTTTCGCGTTTCGACCATGACCAGGAAGTCTTGGGCGGGAGCGCCGTTCCGAGTTCGAGCTGAAGAAGTGCCGACCTCTATTTTCGAGGAAGTGCTGGGCGGGAGCGCCGTCTCGAAATCGAACCAGAAGGGTGTCGAATTCTAGATTTCAACAAGTCCTGGGCGGGAGCGCCATTTCGAAGTCGAATCCGAAAGGCTCCGGATTTTGTTTTGGAGGAAGTCTTGGACGGGAGCGCCATGTCGAAATCGAGCCAGACAGGTTTCGAATTATAGTCTGAAGGAAGTATTGGGTGGGAGCGCTATTTCGAAATCGAACCCGAAAGTTCCAAAGTCGATCGAAAGTGCTTTTGTTGAATACAGCCAAGGCGCTGAAATAAGGAACAGCTTGGATTCGGAAGGGGCTCGATGTTCCTTACGTCCTTCCGTGGTTGTTCCTCTAGCCTTTTGTCGTGCACCCAGGCTTTCTTGAAGCCACAGAGGGGCTTC